ACACTTATATTTTACTTCCCGACACTCGACCCGTTTAAAGATGGCTACCATGGTCATTTTATTTTATACAGATCCAAAAAAACCATGGCACAGAAATTGCGCAACTTTCTACAGATATTATCTGAAAGGTTTTTTGTAGTGTAACAAGCCGTTTTTGGTTGATTTGATACATTTGTTTCTTTTATTGAACGTCATTTTTTTTTGTTATTGAAAATTTGGACGTATGTGTCCGAACCACTAGGCGGCGACAGTGAAAGAGTTAATCCCGTACAGTGGGGCACACCGGATTCACCTTAGCCGATAGGGCGATCCGTGGATCTGCTATGTAGGTTTAGAAGTTGGGAAATCACTACAATGTAATACAGTGCCAGCCTAGATACCTGTCAGGACCCGGCGACCTATAACGCCTCAGAGGCTCAGCTGACACTTGCTGAATCTGAGCTAGTGAGGGCCACAGAGGTTAAGTCTATGTTTGCTGTAACCCAGTGTGTGCGCACCTCAGAGGCTGAGCCGGAGTTTGTGCCGTAACTCAGCGTGTGCGCGCGCCTCAGAGGCTGGGCCGGACGTTACCGTAACCCAGCGTGTGCAGACCTCAGAGGCTGGGCCGGACGTTACCGTAACCCAGCGTGTGCACACCTCAGAGGCTGGGCCGGACTTTGCCGTAACCCAGCGTGTGCGCGCCTCAGAGGCTGAGCCGGTCTTTTACCGTAACTCAGCGCGTGTGCACCTCAGAGACTGGGCCGGTCTGTTACCGTAACCCAGCGTGTGCGCACCTCAGAGTGTTATGTCACGGCTTGCAGGCGTAAGGGAAAGCAGGGAAAAGGAGCCAGGAAGTCGAAATAACGGGGTTTTATTCGGCTGACAGGACCGGGGGAAGAGAGCACGCTCCTAGGAAGAGCGTCGGGGCGGCTCTCTTTTTTCCTCTGTGCCTCTTCCTCTTCGGACGAGCGGGGCTCTCTAGGGCCCAGGGCAGGTCTCCAGAGCTGGGCGGTTGAGCGGCAGAAGCCGCGTTAAGCTCAGTCTTGCGCTGCGGAAGAGTCGTCTTTCGCTGTGCGGCTGAGGCTGGAGCCCTGGCCGTTTTGCTAGAGATTGGGAGGGTGGCAGGCAGTGAGTCGGGGGGCGGTTCCCAGGTGGGGCAGCCAAACTGCCGCTCTCTCCCTCAACAGCCGTAGGTTTTCACCCACCTCTTCTAGCTGCTGTTCCTCACCGGTATGGAACCTCCTGTCTAGGAGTTCCCAACATCTGTCCACCAGCCTGTGGGCTACTGGATCCTCTCGGAGCTCGAGCAGGTTCGTCCACTGGATCACTTCTTCCTCCATGGGGAGAACCTCCCCAGTAGCGCTGAGCTTGTTGTAGAGACTTGTCATTGACGTTCGTCCATGTGCTTCCCCCGGTCCTGTCACCCGAATAAAACCCCGTTATTTCGACTTCCTGGCTCCTTTTCCCTGCTTTCCCATACGCCTGCAAGCCGTGACGTAACAGATGTCTGGGGAAGACTGACTCAGACGAGGACTAAATACACAAGACAAGTTTAACGAGCAACAGTTGAGAACAATCAGGCATAAACACGAGGTAATGAGGTGGCCGTGGCACACACAAGGATAGTACGGAGTTGGGCGTGATATAGAGGCTGAGCCGGTATTCACCGTAACTCAACTTGGGCAGCCGCATCGGGTCTCGGAAAAACGGGGTTGAGTCAGAGGCTGCAAGAGAGTGTTACAATAACTAACCCCAGTCTCTGAGAAACATGCAGAGGTTAACAAAGTCAGACAGCCAAGAAGTAATCAAAACAGTTTATTCGCAATTAATATACATCACATCAATTTAACCAAATATAACATTACAGTAATTTTAACATGTGGCCACAAGTCCTAAACTATCTAATCCAATAAAAAGTATACAACAATTCCATACCTCAGCTGAGTGGACACATAGTAACTGCAGAAAATATCTGATTACAGATGAAGATTCATACAGCACTATGTGGGAGCTCTGATTACATAGTGTCTCCCTGTGCTATTCTGGAGCTCTTCCTTAAGTATCACAAACCAAGTGACAGACTGTACCAAATATTGTGATTGATTATTTTAGGGCCTGCTCTGATCTTTTGTGTGTGTGTGTATCCTGGAAAACTGTTGATCTTATCAATTCTCAGACCCTCAGCCAATCAAATTGCTTTAGAAGGAATGTGACAATTCCTTTGTTGTACCTGGTGATAAGATCCTCCACTTTGGTGGGTTTATTCTTACATTCTATATTTCTCTTATGTGAAAACATACTGCTTTAAGGTTGAGAGTCTTGTGCCCATCATACTGTGACCATTCAAATGAGACCAAACATGGGTGTATGTGTCCCTAATGTTAGTCTGGGGTATGTTGGAGTAAGCAGTCTCCGCCGGGTGAAGAGATTCACAGCTGACACATGGAGAAGTTGCAGGTCACCAGTTTATTCCTTACACAGATCGATCTGGGAGCCACGGTCTGACATACGTTAAGCATGTACAAGAGGAAGCTCTACCATATGTATCAGCTCTATCCCTTTTTAAAGCCCTTTGGGCATGTCCCCCCTCTCTCGGTACCTTCTGTCTACGTGGCAACCACATGTTTGACATTTGCTCTAGTTAGTCGGTTAGTACTTGTCCTTCTGGAAGGCTAAAGATACGTAAGGGCTGCTGACGTTCTCTGTCTGCTCCCTCTATCTGTCCCGACTAGGTAACCTTGCCCTGCCGGCGCACCAGTCAGTTCTCGTTTTGATTAGTTACAGCCTTATAGAATCATTCCCTCAATTTCCCCCTTATAGAATTATTCCCTCAATTTCCCCCTTTTGATCTCCGCAAGGAGATCACCCTGATTATGCTGATTAGTAATATTTTGCCTTATTTATGAAATTTTGCATTCCCCCTTTTGATCTCCACTAGGAGATCACCCTATTGGCGAGAGGAGGTGTAGTTCAAAGCTGTCCAGAGGACCACTGCCCATCTCCGACCCGACAGGTGCGCATAGGTGTCATCCCGCTTCTCTATCACGGTAGTGATGAGACGAACTGACAGTGCGCGCAGGCAGGGAATACAACAACACCCGCAAGTAACTAAAATTGCAGCAAAAGTAGCAATGGATAATAAAAGCAAGCCCATTAAGCCTTTCCACTGTCCGAACGCCGAGGTCAGCCAAGCATCCCAGATGTTGATCCCGGAGTGCTCATGCATTGTTTTGGAGAGGGCCCGGAGACCTTCGAGTGCCCTGGTCACTGAGCCGTCTGGTGCTATGTTATTGGGAATGTAAGTATAGCATACTTCCCCGAACATAGCGCACACTCCCCCTTTTTCGGCTAGTAGCATATCTAGCTCAAGCCAGTTTTGGACCGCCATCAGAGAAGTAGGGCCTAATTGCTCCCCCAGGCCTGCCACTGCGTCTCTAGTAAGGTTGGAAAGGCGCAAAATGTTATAGTGTACATAGTTAATGCGGTCTACATTTTTGTTGGGAGTGATGGGGAATATGGCTACCACAATAAGAATGTTCTCAAATCCCGCAGCGACCTGGTCAGCCAATTTGAACTCATCTGGCACTCCTCTCGGGATCCCTATAGCATCGATGTAGGTGGGTGAATCTACCGTAGGGTCAAAGTTGGGTGCCTCGTGTCTGCGTCTAATCAGTACGCGCCTTCGTCGTCCCCCAACCAGTTTCCCGCCTGGTGCACCAGTAGTGACCTCTAGTGTATCGGGACGTTCTCCTGTCAGGACTAATGGTGCTATTAGCCTTACCATGGCACATACCCTGTGGCCGCTGAGAGGCATTCTAACGAGTAACTTATCCTGGCCACAGAACCAGTAGAGGCCAGAACCGTTGTCTATGGTGTCACGACATTACTCTTTGAGAATGTCCCCTACGTGGGAACCGGTACCCGCGAAGCTAAAGCAGAGGTATTCCGCTTTACCTGGACGGGGAGTGAACAGTCCTGCTTTAGTCCTGTTATCTATGGGTGGAAAAAGGGATACCAAGGTGGTGCAGTCCACCGGTGTGGCCTCCCTGGTCAAGGCTAACATGCAGGCATAGCCCCAGGCGTCTGAGGGATGCAATGGGGCTGGTTCTGTATAGAGCTGGGGTTTGGCTGAAGCACAGGCCACGCAGCCCTCCATCTGCTGTTCTCTGGCATTCTGCGCAATCCAGGCCAGCCAGATGTTGCCGTTCTTGTACCCTGTGGCTAGTTCTAAAATGTCTAGGGGATTCAGTCTAGTGTAATCGACCTGGAGCACTATAGTATCGTTGGTGACTTGGAACGGGGTGGTTACTTGAACCATAGTGGGCCATCTAGTGGGCTGTGGGGCAGTCTTAGGAGGGTCAACAAATAGGATAGTCACTACACCCCAGGGGTCCTTTCCAGACTGATCCACACCCAGCAGGATATTCAAATCGTTTCCCTCATCCGGGGGGTGGTAATACTCTCCTATAGACAATGCCAGCGAACTCAGGCTGGATTTTCCAGTATACCCTTCCCTAGAGAAGGTGATGTTAGTCCACCAGCTTCTCGCGGACTTTGGGCCATAGGGCTCCCAGGGTCTGGTGTACTTAGCCACCCTGTCCCAGCCTTCACACGGTCGGGCCACGGTCCAACCGGTGCGACACCCTAAATGATGATGCTGGTCGTAACAGAGCCATACGTCGTATCCTCAGTACGACGCGTTCTGGTACTGACAATCTATCATGTCACATAAGTCAAACAGGAAAGTGGTGGGGGTGCCTTTATGTACTGTAGTCGCAGAGGCGCCTCTCCCCGGTAACCCACGCACATGGCCGCTCTTGTTTGGACAGTGGAAAGCAGTATTATCATAACCATAATCATTAACACTTTAAGCATTTTAAGCATCACACAACACACTTGTTTCCCCCAACATTCCCCTTTTTATCTTGATCTTCATCCTGGTCCTAGTGTTGTCTGGCGGTGGATGAGGTGCTTTTGTTCTTTCTGGTCGTTGGAGCAGGGGTGGACTACCCTGCTCTGGTTGCTCAGGTCAGGGGATTATTCTGCCCCTTCTGTTGAGACCTGAGTTGCGTCTAGTTCAGCCGAACTGATGCTCTGGATTCCTTCCCTCAGGGCCTCCTGGTTCTCCCTGGGTCCTCCGCAGCCATGCACTGGCTCCAATGAAACCACGTGTCGCCTTTGCCTTTCAGACGAACCGCGTGTGACGTAATCTCCGTAACCTGGAAGGGGCCAGTCCACCTGGGCTCTGACCACTTCCGTTTGATGACTTTCAGGAGGACCCACTCCGCTGTGTGTGGTTTGGCCGGCTGGGTCTCTGGTCTCGCCTCCTGGATCTGTTTGGAAAAATCTGCAACGAGAACTTGCAAACAATCATAATATGCCCTAGGATTTTGCTCCCCCTTCTCGTCGGGGGTCCAGGTTAACCCTTTCTGGGGTCCTGGGAACTGCCTGCCTGTCTGGAGCTCAAAGGGGGTGAACCCGGTCCCCCTGTTTATGGAACACCTCACTGACATCACTGCCAGTGGTAAAGTGTCAACCCAATTCATTTTGGTCTGTGCACAGATTTTTGCCAATGTTTCTTTTATTGTTAGGTTCTTTCGCTCCACTTTTCCCTGGGACTGCGGATGATACACAGTTCCGAACGCATGTCTCAATCCCAACGCTTTCTCCACCGTGTGGTGGTCCTCGTTCTTAAAGTGGGACCCATTGTCTAACTGACTCCTGCTGGGAAACCCGTGTCGTGGTATATACTGATTAATCAGAAACTTTATCACGGATACCCCATCCTCCTCCTTTATGGGCCATGCTTCCGGCCACCCTGAGAATGCGTCCACACACATCAACACATATCTGAACCCTCTCACTGGAATCACCATGTCTGTATAATTTATGATGATTTCTTCCCCTGTGCCTGGTGCACATCGGAAACTGCCCTTTCTCAGGCTTGACTGTGGGTCGCGAATTATAGAAGGTACAGGTAGCGCAACTCCGTACATATCCCACCACCATCTCTTTCATAAATGGATGCCACCACCTTGTCAAATTCTCTAACATTTGTCTCACCCATGCATGACCTACCCCGTGGGCTTCTGCCAAGATTGTCTGGCGAAGGCCTGGGGGAAGGGCCGGCTTTCTTTCCTTACTCTGCCACAGCCCCTCCTCCTTATGCCCCCCTTTTTCTCTCCACATTGTTTTTTCCTCCGGGGAGGCCTTGTCCTGATCGTGCTTAACTTTCTCTAGGGTCAGTCGGTAATTCGGGTGAACTTCCTCCTCTACCGTGATCATTTGTTTGGACACCACATACCCTGTGACCCTCTTCGCTTCCTCATCTGCGGCCTGATTTCCCTTCGCTACCATTGTTCCTGACCCTTCATGCCCCTTTCACTTTACCACTGCCACTTTTTTGGGAAGCATCAAGGCTTCTGCCAGCTTTCTCATATCTGCTTCGCATTTTATTGGCTTGTTTCCCGCAGTCAAGAATCCTGCCCTTAGCCATTGGCTGAGTTCCATATGCACTGCGCCTACAGCATATGCTGAGTCTGAGTATATGGTAACTTCTTTTCCTTCTGCTAATTTTAGGGCCTCGATAATCGCTATCACCTCGGCTCTCTGGGCTGACTGGGCTCCCCCCAGTCTTTCTGCCTTCAAGGTCACATAATCCTGGCCTTGTCTGGCCACCACTGCATACCCTGCCTGCAAACCTCCTGTGTCTGTTCTAAAACACCACCCATCTGTGAACCAATCCTCTGTCCCCTCTATCTTTTCTGCACCTAAGTCTGGTCTGACTTTCTCCTCCTTCTGAACTCGGTACTCACACTCATGCAATTCTCCCCTGCTCATGTGGTCTGCCATGTTGATCCCTTCATGAGAAAAATTCAGGTTAGGTGCCTGAGGTTTTACTAAGTCTCTGCTGCCTGAGTGACGTCATGGTAAACGTCTGTGAATTCACATAAGCCACCACACTGTGCGAGGTCAGAATGTGCAGCGGATGTCCCATCACTATGTGTGCTGTTTTCTGAATAATTTTGGCCACTCCCGCTGCGTTTTTCTGTAGTATCGAGTTTTACACTGATGTACATCAGCACTCTCGATCTGGGAGTACATCGATCTGGGAGCCACGCTCTGACATACATTCAGCATGTACAAGAGGAAGCTCTACCATATGTATCAGCTCTATCCCTTTTTAAAGCCCTTTGGGCATCTCCCCCCTCTCTCGGTACCTTCCGTCTACGTGGCAACCACATGTTTACATTTACTCTAGTTAGTCGGTTAGTACTTGTCCTTCTGGAAGGCTAAAGATACATAAGGGCCGCTGACGTTCTCTGCCTGCTCCCTCTATCTGTCCCAATTAGGTAACCTTGCCCTGCCAGCGCGCCAGTCAGTTCTCATTTTGATTAGTTATAGCCTTATAGAATCATTCCCTCAATTTCCCCCTTATAGAATTATTTCCTCAGGTAATACCTCCTGTGTTGATGTGAGTTAGCGAGTGTAGGATGCATCTGTGTCTTGACACAGCCAGGCCTTAAGAACATAAGAACATAAGAACTATACAAACGAGAGGAGGCCATTCAGCCCATCGAGCTCGCTTGGGGAGAACTTAAC